AAAAAAGATAGAATAAAAAAAAAAAAAAAAAAAAAAAGAGTGTGGTCAAGAAAAAACATGCCTTACTCTAGAATCATTGTTCTAGTTCCAGTACCCTTCCTACACATTTATCTTTGCTCACTAGGTTGATCCTAATATGGCAGGGAACTGAGTTTTAGAGCAGCTATTTGGTGTCTAAGTTCGTAGGTCCCTTCAAACGATAACAAAATTATGACAGGAAACCAAACACTGGCAACAGTGACAAAATAGGGATTTTGGATTTGTAATATTCTAGAAAAAGTCAATGGTGGAAAGTTAGTGTTTGATCAATAAAGACCAGAGGCTTTAATTTTAAAATGTTATGAAATACCTCATTTTGTAATCCTTTTCATAGTACATAGTAAATAAACCCAGACCCTGGATGTCATCTATTCAAACTTGTTTTGCTGCATTATCTGCTACAGGGACAAGCGGTAGACAGGTTCTGATGGCATGTGGCACATTTTGAAAATAAGGTAATCACCCAGAAGCAGCAAGGGAAAGAAAGTAATAATCAGGTCACAGAAGAAGAAAAAAAAAAAAAGAAAGAAAGAAAAAAACTAACCTGTAATTAAAACTCGTGGATGATTCGTTTCAGAGAAAGAGGCTGAGTGAAAGTTGGCATCTGTTGGTACTTGCCGAGGGGAGACACTCAGAAACCGGACTGGCAAGATAGACGCCCAACAGCCATAAGCTGGGCTCTGTACCTTCTGACCCACCGCATGCCTCAGCATCTTAATGATTAGCATTTTCTTTTCAAACACCTGTAAGAAAAAAGGGGCAGAGTTTAACTACATAAGCTTTTATTTTTCCAACCCCTCAAAACATAAGATTTTTAATTGAAATATTTAATTGAAATTGTGGTTAATGAGCAAAGCCGTTTTGGGATTTAGGAGTTGAACTAAAGAGATTGCTGACCTCATCAATAGGAACTCAGTCAAGTGCCTGCTGTGAGCCCAGCCCTATAATGAAAGGATACAATGGTGGTCACACTATGTCCAGGCAAACAAAGGCCAGTTACAACTGCCATTGCACAATGCTTACACCAGCTGGGATCTAACGTGCCAGTGGAAGTTACTGTACAGAGAGCCATAAACATCACAAAAACAAAGCTAACGGTCCTAGCAAAGGTTTTAAACCTTGATTGCAACTGTTACCAACTTATCTACACACTGTCTAGGAGTACAAACAGGTCCCAGATTAAATGATGTAGTGGTGTCCTGAAAATCTTGTGTTAACGGTCACATGCTATCTTTGGAATGAACCACACTAGAAAAGCAGATGGTTAAGATAAAAAGAAAAAAAAAAAAGATTAAAAGGCTCCCAGTGGGGCCAGCAGCTGGCTTAGTAGTTGGGGGCACTGGACTCCCATATGGCCCACCATGGTTCAGGTCCTGAACCTGGCAGCTTGCTTTCTCGTTTCATATCTCTCTCTCTTGCTCACTCGTTGTTTCTCTCTGGTCAAATTAAATGAGTAAATGAAGTTAAATAAAATAATTCTTAAAAAAAAAAAAAGGCTCCCAGCAATGTTACTAAGCCATGAATAATTTTTGTTTTATTGTTATCTCCTTAGAAAGGATCATTTGGGGGAACCAGCAGTTAGCGCAATGGCTATGTCGCTGGACTCCCACGTAGTCGACCGCGGTTCGCGTCCCGGACCCGGTGGCTTAAAACTCACGCCGGGCGCATGTGCGTGCGTGCCCAAGATCCCGAGAGGAGAATGGACGAGAAGGGATTGCGGCGTGACCATCCCCCCTGGGGGGTGATTTCTCGCTTTCTGTCTCTATGTCTCTCTCTGTCTGTCTGGCGAGCGCATGCGCCCTACAGTGAAAATCTCTCCAAAAAAAAAAAAAAAAAGAAAGGATCATTTGGAAAAGCCATTTGCTTCTTGTGTCCCAGACGGCATACATTTCAGTCTTGCTCCTCAACTTTACCACTGGCTCATTCTAGAACCACTCCTGCCCTCAAGAGATCAAGATGGTCCAGTCACATATGGCTTGACTTTTTCATATTCCCAACTCCACCCCCAACACCCTGGAGAGGATGTGAGAAAAGTCAAACCAGAGCTGCCCAACTTGCTTTGCTGGTCCTGACAGCAAACATCTCCCCTCCCTAAGAATAAGCCTATTACACAATCCACTGTGGCCTCCCATCTACTCCAAGACCTCCTCCCCTGGAAAGGGTAGATGAGCCCTCAGAGCCAACCCAGACACCCCTCCCCTCACAAATAGGTAATCAGGACGTCAACCATCTTCTGCTTTGCATTTTGAAGACTTCAAATAAGATATGAACTTGTATTCAACTCAGTACTTGAAGTAGAAGTGAGACAGTAATTGTTTTCCTGTAAATCCTAATAATATTTAGGTCCAAATTATGGAAAACAAAAGGAAATCATCTGAAAATGTGCTTTCACTCCCTTTATGGGTTGTAGGAGTTTTGTTCTTTAGTATGCAGAAATAAGGGGATGGAGCCCTGGCAGTTTCTGTGGGGTAAGGTGGCTCACCTCACCAGATGCCCAGCATCTCCAACCATCACACTTTAATATGTAACAGAATGTGTTACGTGCACCTCCACTTACCACCAGGGCATACTGCAAAGGTGTCTGTGCAGATGTCAAAAGTTAATAAAGGGGGCCAGCAGGTGGCGTGGTGGTTTAAGGCACTTGATTCCCACATGGCTGATCGCAGTTTGAGTCCTGGACCTGGTGGCTTGCTTTCCCACCTTTTTCTTTCTTTCTCTTTTTTTTTTTTTTTTAGAGGTTTTTGCTATAAGGCGCATGTGCTCGGCAGAAAGACAGAGAGACAGAAAGCGAGAAATCATTCCCCAAGAGGGGAAGGCCATGCTGCTATCCCTTTTCCTCCATTCTCCTCTCGGGATCATGGGCACGCACACACACGTGCCCAGTGTGAGTTTAAGCTGCCGG